AAGCATCTTGTTGGTGATTCCATCTCTCCCGGGGGCCTGAGAGTACATAGATTGGAAGTGCTATTTAAATAGAAACGCCGCAGATGTTATGCGGTGAGATATAGCTGGCGTTTCGGTTGGAGCTGCTAGTTGAGAAGTGGCGGATAGAGTTGGCCACATTTGTAACCCGTCAACCAACCCTCTTAACTAAGTTCCACCTAGTTCAGGGATTTTTGATAATTTTAGGGGATTTCGTACCTGCCTAATTTGAAAGCTTTTGACAAAAACGTCAACGAGACAGCGATTGTTGGACTTTACTTTTGAAGACGAAAGCGTGTGAATCTGTGGTTTGTTTTTAGTGCAAAAAAATCAAATTAAATGGAAAACCCAATGAAATCGGAAAACACTAAATTACCGAAAGGAATGCGAACTCCCAATTAAACAAATGAGGAGAAATATCGGTTATTAGAAGTATGCCGAGACTATAAAGGGATCATCGAAAACAAAAAAAAATGACTCGTGCTCGTGGAGAGAAAAAGACGATACATGGAATAAGATCGCTGCCGATTTCAACGCCTCATCACCAAGGAAAGTCTTCCGCAGTAAAGAATCATTGCGGAAGTGCTACGAAAATTTAAAAAAAAAGTCAGAATGGTTGTGTCTCAAGAAAAAAAGTCGCTAATACAGACCGGCGGTGGTGCAGCATTTACACCTTTCCAGGACCCATGTTTTTAAGGAGATTGTAAGTGCTAAAACCATGGGTGGACTGCCAAATTTTGATGGGGACAGCATTTTGCTTTTTGTGGAGGAAAATGAGGCTGGGACTAGTTCGTCTTCTTCGAATGCGAATATTGCAACGGAAGGAGGTCCTGTAAGTACATTTCTTTCTTCTTTTTGTCATAGCCAAATACTAAAATCAATCTAGTAAAAATCAAACATAATATTATTGATCCATTTTATTCAGGTGAAGCAAATTGACTGGGGCAACCATTCTGCAGCGGATTTGAGGATACAGCTGCCGAAGGTACTTCGAAGCGACAAGCTTTCCGAAGAAAATGGCAGTTGGTGTAAGAGGAGAAGACCTGGTGCTGTGAGGACACTTCACACCGCAAAATATGAACAAGGGGCTGACTTGAAAATTAAATTTCTGACGTCAGAAATGAAAGCGGCAGACCGTAAAAGAGAGCGCAAAGAAGAAGAGCATGCTCTAAAAGTAAAATGTTTACAATTAGACATTGCTCTCAAAGAAGCCGAGTTAAAAAAAATAAATAAATCAGAATAAAAAAATTGGATTGGTGTTTTTATATGGGAAGATTGCCTAATTTGAACCACTTTTCAAATATCTGCTGTATTACACATGTTATTAAATATTTCAAATTTTTATTACAAACATGTAATCTGCAATGCTGTCCAAATGGCTACCCGTAGCATAGTACCGCAAAGCAGTTAATAATTGCGAAATTGGAGATATACATTGATTCTAGAGAAAACACATTCATTGATATGAAACAGTATATTTGAAGAATTAAATAAGTATTCACATTAATACTTACGTCTCAATCGGAAACTCTAGCAGTCCTTCAATTAACGGCAATAGAACCATTACAGTCTCTTTGGTTAGTCGAAATTAAAAAAAAAATGAGTAATCATCCAAATCATGAAAATGATTTGCACGGTTGTTAATCCGCCTTGGCACCCCAAATTCAATTATCTCCAATTCATATATATCGTCGTCATCGTCCCATGTCAAAGAATTCATAAAGAACGCCATGATTCACCTTATTAAATATCCGCCGAACAAGAATGAACCAAAACGTGAATTCAACAATCTGTTTTTGGTTATGTATGTATTTGTAACCCGTCAACCAACCCGCGACGCTTGCGYACAGGTCCCACTTATGGCTAAGCCGAACCACGGGTACGGCTTAAGCTAGGTGCCACTTAGACTGGTTTAAGTGGCGCTTAAACTGTGATGTAGTCAACTTAAATTATTAAGTTCCACTTAACTCCTAAGCCGAAGTGGTGCAGTTGGCCCTCAGTGTCGTGTCCTGTATGAACGTAATTCTGCTAAGCTTTGAACATTGAAGGAATTATTTTTTTGTTTTCATTGTAATTTTCTATTTTGGTGGCAGTTCGGCAACATGGCTGAGCAGTATGCCATTTTCGGCTGCTGGTACCGTGCGTACGGGCATATGCGCGTGCCACAGCAGACTGCTTCACCGCTACGTGTTTGCCCACCCCCTGGAACCACGTGTATACACATAGGGTTCAAAAAAGAAATAAATTCGAGCTCACGCCTCCCTCAAGGGCACGTGCAGGTCCCGAAGGGCTCCGGAAAGTCCCTGCTCAGTGCAACCAGTGGCAGTGCAGTTCGAGCATAAGTTCGCGGGAGTTCGTAATTGACATTGCCCGTTTGAGGTTCCAGCACTTCCTGCTACGTTATCTACGTTACCAACAACAACAAAAATGAGATTTTGAGAGCGGAGCCCTTCAGGCTCCGAGCGAATCAAACAGCTGCAGGTCCGCGCAAGGTAAGCCTGCAAGACGCCCACCCAGGGTAGCCAACTTTTCAAACGCGTATTACCGTACAAGCCATTGGAAAATACCGTATTTTACCGTACCAGAGATTTTGAACCAAAAAGGCCTAGAAAAAACATAAAAAGGCTATGGCCATGGCCGGTGACTAAAAAAAAAGTTCCCCCATAATGGGACATAAGTAAGATAAATATTCCCAAAACTTCTAACCCCGCACTCCACGAGCACTGGTCCAAGACGTGCAGCCTCCCAAAACACCAAAGCCCCTCAGGCCTCCCAGGCTGCCCCGGCCCCGGCCCCGGCCCCGGCCACCACTTCTGCACTCCAAACCCCAAAATCCGCAATTCCTATTGTCATTAGAAATACAGCGGAATGATCTCTTTTGATGCAAAACATATATATATATCAGCAACAAAAATAACCATAAAATTTCCGCACGATAAACCCAAGTTTATGCATTAATGTTTTTATTGCAGCAATGTCTATCTATACAGGGTGATTCAAAATTTATTCCATTCCCCTGAGGTTTTGTCTGGGGTTCTTTAGGGAGTACAGGAAAAATAATAAAAAATAATTTTTAATAAAAACTCAGATATTTGCAAAAACTAGATCAGAAAGATGGCAACAATATTTTTGCAGGTAAGCGGCTGTATTAACATTACGTCAATACCGGTTGATTCTTAATTGTTAAAAACTTTAGTAACCATGGTAAACACAAAACATAAAAAATTACAGACAATTAAAAATTTCGAGGTTAAGATAACGTTGTCACTTTACCGTCATACTGCCAACCTTTTTGGGGCAAATGAGTGACATACTTACCTAAATTCGCCACATATGCCAACGCAACCTCCTGTAAAGGGTTTGTATCAATGATCAATATCAATCAATTAAAATACAATTAAGCTGTTAAATCAAAAATAAATATCTACTTGTTCGAAGTTCTGCCCGTTTAACTCCAAATATGTTTGTAGCCGTGTCACATCACTTTATTGTGCACTCTTTGCAGCAGTCAGGGCTTACATTTTGAGCAGCTTTTCGTATTCGGTTAATTAACTTAATTAAATAATTTAAAATTACCTTGTTTCTTACCTATTTTTTTGCACTTTCGCGCATTTTAAAGCGAACATTTCATATCTACGGATATCGGAAAAACTCCGTCGTATAGACAAATTTATAGCGAACAAATTTATAAGGATATATTTTTTTTCGAAATGCATACTTACCGAGTTATATGCGATTGTTTCCGAAAAAATGCGACTTTCGCATTTTTTTTCCCTTTTTCGTTGTTTTTGTGCCAATCGCACACCTTTTGAAGCTGGCGCACCTCGATATTTACAATAGGTATACCATTCCCAAACCATTCCAATAGTTATCTAAATTACGTCATCTTAGAGTAATGCTAATCTGTAACCCTCCTGACCTATATCCTTTTCTATTTTATTTCAGGAAGCAAAATCTATGCATTCCTCGACATTGCCCACTTCATCTGCTAGACAGAGCAGGATATTCTTCAATAACTTCTTCGGATTTTCTGGTCTGCTGGGTGTTGGAAACCCTGTGCAGGAAGAAGTTAGCGATTTGTCTACTGAGATTGACGATGATCAAGATGAGTCAAGAAATTGCTCATGTGGTATATTAATATACCCAATCTATCAGCGATTAAACTTTACGTGGTTACTTTTACAGAGTGTGGAGTGTCGAATCATGAAAATAGAATAGTGGGTGGGCGACCTACTGGAATAAATCATTACCCATGGATAGCCAGAATTGTCTACGATGGGCATTTTCACTGCGGAGGTTCTCTAGTGGCTGAAAGTTACGTTCTAACTGCAGCGCATTGTGTAAGAAAGTAAGTAATCAAAGTTGATCAAACTGCTTTAAAATACATTTATTTCCTGCTACAATGACATCCAAAATAATGATTTATTTGCATCGTGCTCTATATCTAGAGGGTGATCCAAACTTGACGCCCAAGGCGTACTATGCCCAAAACGAAATCCTATAATTAAATTCGAAATCAAGGGTATCAAATGTGATGCCCTGAAGGACAATTTTAGCGAAAAGAATAAAATGATGTTAAGGTTTATTTTTGCAAAAGAATACACTTGGTACAAAATTATTCAATTTAATAGACGCCTTGTACGAACTCCATGAAATCAAACAACTCCTATTCTTGTCCCGCCTTCCAGTCTTGTCATCCCGCCGTGGTTCCACCAATTTCCGAGGTTGCTTACATTCGTTAATGTTCTCATTAATAACTTACCTTCCAGCAGATCAATCATATTCTGTCGGTCCGTGACATCGCCGTCAGAATCTGATGCGCCACCTTCGCCATCATCGCCAAAAGTAGTACTTATATATCGCCTTAAAGAGTCGACTACCGTCAAGGCTTTAAACGTTTTATACCCTCTCATGCCTTTCACCGTCGTGATTAAGTAACGGTCATTACCAATTACTTCGGCCACGAGGTAGGGGCTATCGTACTTGTTAGTGAGTTTCCGATTCACTCCTTTTTCATTAGAACAAGTAGCAGCGTTACGTCACAATATCAACTCGCCGAGTTTGTAACTAGTTACTGTCGTCGTGCTTCTACGATCGTTTCGAGCTTTTATTGATCGCCTTCTTGTTCTACGTTAGCATCATGGACCTCCCTACTCATTCACGCCAGTTTTGTGCATAAGCATGCGTTGAGCAACTGAGTATCCCGAGCTCTTGTTCACAGTCTAATTTTTGTCCCATACAATCTCAGAAATCTTTTCATCCCAAGCCGCCTCGGTCTCCGCACTTGTCTCAATTGCATTCGAGAATGTCCGATTCTGTCTCTCTACCTGACGATTCGCCCTAGGACTAACAATCGCATTTAGCACATGGTTTACTCCCTTTTCCGCCAAATAACTAGCCGCTTTACTGAACTGAACGCTTTACTAATCCAGAGCCCGACCGCCGTCGGAAATAATTCGCCTTGGATATCCAAATTCGTCTTAACTTCGACATTGTCCTGTTTCTACAGCAAGACACCTGCGATACCTAGTTTGCAAGCATCCGTATATAGCTCTATCGGTCTACCACTATCATATACCGGCCAGTACCGGCCTTTGAGTCACCCCACCGCCATACAACATCTTTCTTGGCTAACGTTGACAAAGGTCGCGCAATAGCGGCAAAATTCTTGAGAAATTTCCGAAAATAACTTACTCAGCAATGAGAGCATTCACTTTAATTGAAATACCATCTATGTTGATATGTGTCTTCGCCACTGGGTCCCGATGCGCCACTGAGTCCCGCCTCTACCACTTTAGTTAACGTACCGCTTTTTCTTGCATTCCGCCGCCTCGGAGTCCACACGGCATCTGCCAAGGGACGACAAAAACCCAGAGTACAGTTGGCCAATCATCTTGCACCGAAATGTCCTGGCATTTTCCCGAACGCTTTTGGGGAGCCCATCAATAAGGCCCGAAATAGCCTTACCACCTATTATTTCACACCTCCTTTCCATCAGTCCGAGTTGTAGTCGTTGAGCCTATTGAACCACGACCGTGCAGCGCCTTGCAACTTAGCCTACATAAAATAGGTCCGCTCGTACTCTGACCAGCCGTGAATTTCGCCCAGTTAGTCATTTTTTGTCAGCCATCTATCGACAATATAGACCTCGCTGTCCGGATCGAAGGGCTCAATAATTTCGTCACCTGCCCTAGCCCTGTGGGACCATGGTACGCCCCAGTACATGACGAGGCCCTAACGCTACTTTGACAACTTGGAACGAACTCACCTCATTCCACCGCTCTAGTGCGTTCTTCCAAAATCGCTGTTTTAACCACCCTTGCCGTTTTCGCCGCCATTAAGCTCCTGATGCTTTCTGCCAAATCGTGTTGCATAAGCTCTTTCACGGCCTGGTTGACCGCCTCGTAGTCACACTATCGTCTGGATACGAGCCCGTCTCCTCCTCTTCTAGCTCACAATCCAGAATATCCTCCATATCCTGATCATCGTCTTTGCCGGCCGCCATTCCGGATTGTATGTCGCACCAAAACAACACTTGTTTCGAACCACAATACACCACCGTTTCTCCAAAACGATCTTTCGTCCTACGCCGCAAGTCTACAAACCCCACTTCTGATATTGTTAGGGTTAATTTTCGCAGAAGAATACACTCGATACAAAATTAATGAATTTAATAAACGCTTTGCACGATCTCAATCAATCCCTACTGATCATCCAATCATCCTTGGACAACGCCCAACCATTGTCCGGAAGTACTACCGCGCCATCTAAAGGTCCAGCTATGTTGTTGCCACTCCCGTTCTTGTCCCGCTTTCCAGTGTTGGACGAACAAAAGTCGAAGTTGAAGTCATGCACGCAGTGGCGGACCTTCGACTTTCGTCTCACGTACCGTAAATTATTTTTCTTGACCCTCGATGGAAACTAGCCGCGAAAAGTATAAGGGTTTGAACAAACGGCTTTGAAAATATTGTCAAAAAAGCCAGGTGACAGTCAGTGACAAACATTCAAGCTGTCAATGTGCGTGGCGAAAATTATTACCTTCCACACTGGATAAAGAAAATTTAATTGAATAGGGTGCGGAAAGGTAAATTGTTATTGTCATGTCATTGTAAGGTGTAAAAGGGATTCGGTCGCTATCAAAAACACTAGCAAACCTGTGGCGGTGACAAAATGACGTTTTTTTTTCGAATAAAAAGGGGTCACTTCTTGACCAGAAGCCATTATCCCAAAGAGCACTTTCCATGTGTTATATTTTTGGGTATGGACGCATTTGATTGTTTTTCCTTTCCGCATAGTAGGCGTGATGTTGATGAATAAACGGCTTTATTTGTACTTTTTAATCTATGGTTTGCTCACTGACATGTATGTGCAAATTATCTCATTTTAAGACTGTTAAAGAAAAATATATTTTGTGTACGTACTTAAATAATACCGTTTTTTCCTTTTTTTAATAAACCCGACTATTATTTATGCTCGCCTTAGATTAAGACGATCAAAAATTCGAGTGATACTCGGTGACCATGACCAATCGACGACTACTGACGCACCTGCAAAGATGAGAGCTGTTTCGTCCATTATAAGACACAGAAACTTTGACACGGACTCTTACAACCATGACATTGCATTGCTAAAACTACGAAAATCTGTAGAGTTTACAAAAAATATCAGGCCAATATGTTTGCCAGCAAGTAAGTATTATTTCAAGAATATTTTGCATTCGTGTCTACTTTAATAGCTCCTGGCTAGTAAACTTGGTTTACCAGGTCAGTAAATATAAATTTCATTCATTCATTTCATTCAATTTTTTCATTCATTCATTCATTCATTCATTTCATTCATTCATTCATTTCATTCATTTCATTCATTTCGTACATTCATTTCATTCATTCATTTCATTTCATTCATTTCATTCATTCATTTCATTCATTCATTTCATTCATTCATTTCATTCATTTCATTCATTTCATTCATTCATTTCATTCATTCATTTCATTCATTCATTTCATTCATTCATTCATTTCATTCATTCATTTCATTCATTCATTTCATTCAATCATTTCATTCATTCATTTCATTCATTTATTTCATTCATGCATTTGAGTCATTCATTTAATTAAGTTCATTAAGTTCTTTCATTTTATTCAATTCTGTATCTGTGAGATATTGCAAACAAAGCAGCAAAAGACACAAACACAAATTAGAGGTTGAGTGAGGTTACCATAATCATTTACATCAAACAATTTTAAAAATCTGCAAGTGACTCATTGCAAGACGGGTATCCCATTTTAGACTGTCAATTATCGATGTCATTATATTTTTTCCAAATCAAAATTAATTTCTGCGTTTCAGTCATTTATTGTCTCTATTTATCATCAAATACTCCAAATGTATGCCAAGGCTTAAAGCAGCAACAACGCTACACATAAAAACTGATGATGGTGGAAAAATACACCGAAACGTATTTCAATTGATAAATAGAGACAATAAATGACTGAAACCAAGGAATTAATTTTGATTTGGAATTGAAACACAGTCAGGAAAGTATATACAATTATACATTTTATCACTATTCGCGAGTTCAAAATCAACTTTTGCAGGGTTTTAAAGAAATAGAAAGAGATATGATAAAAAAATTAAAAAAGTGATATAAAAATAGAAAGAGATAGAAGTGTCATTAACCCCTAGAAATAAGCAAGTCTGACAAGTCTCAACCGTCGCTCGACAACGAGTAATTTGACGTTTCGCAGCGTCACCATCAGTAATTGAACTCGCGAATAAACTGATGAGATATCGAAATTTCATCATCATTTTCAAAATGTTGATAAGTAATTTGCACAAATTAATATGCCAAAATGAAATTGAGGATTAAATGTTAGTAACAACTAGATTGCTAACATAGTTTTATGGCCTACAGTGGTTTAAAGTAATAAAGTTTTAATAAATCGTCTAAGAAACCAATATTATGTTATATTATTCAAAAGTAAATTCAAAATGGTGTCTTTGTAGATTAAAGTATACAGGATGTTGCATTTCCATTACTGACCACGTATACTTTATCTGAAAATGGCATATTGTTCAACAATCAAATACAGACACTTACATTACAGAGGTGCCCTATAAAAGTGTTGAAAATGAGACAATCTGTACAGGTTGTATTGCTTTAAAAAGTCTGTATTTCTACATCTTCGTTTAAACTGACGATCAACTTGTATAAAAACCAGACAAAGAAGTTTTGTTGTCATAAATTACTTGCTATTCATTTTAATATTGCAAATAATAAGTATTTTTTGTCTTTATTTATAGTTAGAGACCCAGCCGGGAAAACCGGTATTGTCGTAGGATGGGGTAGAACAAGTGAAGGTGGTAATCTGCCAAATATAGTGCAGGAAGTTGAAGTTCCAATTTTAACTCCAAATCAATGTAAAGCAATGAAGTATCGGGCATCGCGAATAACATCTTACATGTTGTGTGCTGGTAGAGGAGCAATGGATTCATGCCAAGGGGACAGTGGAGGACCGCTTTTAGTACACAATGGTGACAAATATGAAATTGTAGGTAAGTAGGTGTATCTATTAAAAGTATTAGATGTCCTTTTAAATATGAGCTTATGCATGTTGATTTTTAAGTTGAATTTTCCTCTTATCTGCAGATGTAGCTCAAAAAAAGAATGGTTATTCTTAATTAAAAATTAACGGGAACACACAGTTTGAAAATTTGAAATTGTTTAACAACAATGACATATTTTTTAACGTGACTTAAATAATATGATATAATGCACGACATAATACGTGCATGTTGGATCATCAACAAAAATACCAAATAGTTTTTCGTAAGTTTGAACATTTTCACGGAGTTTACCGGCATGGCCTCCGCGATGTTTCTTTAAGTAATCAGTTTACGGTCTAGAATAGTACCAAACAGGAAAATGTTGCGAATCTGTTCTGTATGAACTTCTGCAGAAAGCGGAAACCTCAATGGAGCATAAAGATATTGCCGGATTTAGAGTGATTGACAGCTTTTGGCAATACTTCTTCCAGTCAATAGTCAAAGAAGTTAAACTTTGTGACATTCAGCCTTTAAAATTGTGGATGGACCTAAAACGAGCTTCACTTCAGTAGAGTTACACTCAATGAGATCACCACTGGGATGCGGGTGGCCGTTCTCGCGTAGAGGGGTTTGGATTGTGCCGATGATAAAGCAATTATTCAATTATTAATGTTTGGAGACACTGTATTATCACTGATGCAGCAGCCGCTAAATACAATCGAACAATACGGAAGGGCTCGAAATTAGAGCATTTAAATATTTTGGGATAACCCTGGATAGAAAACTCTTGTTCAAGCAACAAATGGAGCAAATACAAATATGGCGACAAGGGCCATGGGGCAACTGCGCAATTCGTAAAACATGGGAAATATCACTGAATATTATGTACTCGATGTACGATGACATATTGCGAAACACTATTATAACATATGCCGCTTTGCTGTGGTGGCATAGGACCAAAAACAGGAGATGCCAACAAATCGTGAGTAAGATTGTTGCATGTCTAGGTATAATTGTCAATAACGCCCACAGCAGCCATGGGGCTGGAGCCTTTGCATACATCCATGGAGGCTGATGGTTTAAAAAGCACCTACCGAATGGGAAACAGTGCCAGGAAACGGATGACTTAAATTGGGCACATCGCGTCTCTAGACGTGAACGCTTACAGGTCCTGCGGTGCTTGCAAGTTTCCCACGAAACTCTGACCCACCACCAACCTCAGCGTTTTTTTTTCTTTTTTTTTGTTTTCGTCCTCACTCCTAACGAGGGTGGTTTTGTCGCCGGTGACAACGAGGTAAATCGGCTTGAATTGTGTCTTCATTTTGAAGACACTAGTCTTCTCCAGACCTTTGTCCCCCGGATCTTTCTTGACCGCAGCCGGCTGCACATTCCCGTCCAGCCCCTCAGGACAAAGTCGTGCGTTTTTTTCTCACGAGGGGGCGTAAGTGTGGTACCGGTTCTTATCCTTAAATTTAGTTGGTATTGAACACATGTTTAGCTTTGTTATTTATGAAAACATTGCACACCTTAACGTGATGCTTGTATGTGTCCTTTTTCGAGACAGTTGGATTTGAACAAATTACCAAATATACACTCTGAAACACTACCCGCTCTATTTCAATTACGTTAAATTAAAATTACTTTATATAAAACATATTATTATGTTCTTTCCATGTGTACGAGGGCCGTCCGATAAATAGCCTTACCGCCCCATGACGCCACTATCGCAAGAGAAGATTTACTATCGTGTAGTACATTCTCGTAGACGACTACTGCCAAATGTCAGCCCAATTGGAATAGTAGTTTTGTTTTGACCTCGATTGGAAGCGCGCGTGTCTGCGGATGGCAGAAAATTAAAAAGAGGAATATTGGTTGGTAGGAAAATCACTTCTGGAAGGAAAATCACGAAGCAAAATCAAAGAGCATTTAGAGGATGCGGTGTACGGTGAATCTACTCCTTCTATGGCGACTGTTCAAAATTGGTTTAACGAGTTTCAACGTTGTTGTACGTCGGTTTTTGATCAGTCACGGCCAGGTGCCCCCACAGAGGATAACATAAGAAAAATCGGCGATCTCGTATTGGCAGACCGTCGATTGAAGGTGCGTGAGATAGCTGAGACAGTAGGCATCTCAAAAGACCGTCTTGCCGCGGCGAGAAGAATCCCTCGTTTGCTCACTCCTGACAACAGACGAAACCGTGAGACTTCAGAGCCGTGTTTGACGCTGTTTAAGCGCAGTCCGAAGGAGTTTCTGCGTCGTTTCGTGACCGTCGACGAAACATGGATCCACTGGTACACACCAGAGACCAGGGAACAGTCGAAACAGAGGACTACCCGGCGAGCGTGCTTCGAAGGAGGCCAAGACTGTCCTATCGGTCGGAAGGGTGATGACCACATTTTTCTGGGATTCACAAGGTGTGATCCACATCGACTACCCAGAGAAGTAGACAACGATCACAGCTACTATATCAAATTATTGAGTTGATTCGACGTCGAATTGCATAAAAAAACGGACCCATTTAGCCAAGAAAACCATATCAAGGCACCGGCTCACACCCCTGTAGTCGCAAAGGCCAAATTGCTTAAATTGGGCTACGAACTGCTGCCCCATCCACAGTATTCTCCAGATTTATCCCAGTGCTACTTCTTTTTGTTTCCAAACTTGAAAGTCACTTACCGGGCAGAAATTTCAGTCGAATGAGGAGGTCATCACCACCACGGATACTTTGTAGACCTCGAGAAAACGAAACATTCAGACAGGTTAAAGAAGTTGGAGTACTGCTGGGTCGCGTATCGAATTAAAAGGAGACCATGTGGAGAAACAAATCGCCCGTTTTCCAATTTTTTTTGTAGGCTTTGTACTTATCGGAGCACCCTCGTATACTTCAAATAGTTGCAACCCAAGCGAGTAAATCGGTTGATATTTCATTTAATCCACCACTTAACACACCAACTTAACATTTATTCTCATAAATAAGAGTCATTATTATCGGGTCGCGGAACTAATAGTTGTCGATGTCTTGCTATCTATGCAGGTATATTGTGTCTCTAATTCCTGAACGTCAGAAACAAGATGATGCAGAAATAAATTTGTGACGCGTAATCAGTGAAATAGCTATCTCAATAGCACTTATTATTTAGATCCAATGTCCAGTAATACAATATATTCCAATGATAATGTAATAGATTTCACTTAATTTTTATGTTGATACGTTACACTAAGGTCCGTATTTATAAACGATGCTCTAGCCTGAGTCGAGTCTCAAGTACGAGACTTGACTTCGATTGTGTTTTATAAACTATTCTCATGCTCAAGCCAGTGCTCACAGCTTTGCTTGCTCGGTCGACGGTGGCTTGAGTTTTGCTTCTGCCCAGCCATTGGTCGAGATTTTTTGTTGAACCGTTTTTTATTTTACTCCCGTGAACCATATAAGAATGGACAAGGTTTTTGAATATTTGGACGTAATAGAGCAGGAAATTAACGAAGACCAACGTGCTAGTAAAAGAAATATACGAGAGAGCCAAAATTATTTTGAGTTTTTCTCGGATGTTCAATCACCGAAAATTTTTCGGTTTTCAAAGGCCACTACGTGATTTTACCTTTTTAAACGAACTATTATTGAAAGTGAATAATCGTGGACTACCAATATCAGAATATTACCCATTACTCAATTCGTGGTATGTTTAAGATTCTATACAAGTAGTTTTCTATTCTATAGATTCTATGCAACAAGTAGCAAAGTTTTTATGATTCCATGTCTACTTTCTTACATAAAGTGTATATTATATTTTAGCTTGTGTCCGGTGATCTTCGTTATATAAGTCGCTTTTTCAGCGATTCAAAATACATATTTAAGTACATAATAATATTGACGCCATCTTAGATTTGCCAAGTTCGCCAACAATCCCAATATAAAATTATCAAATAAACACGAAAGTCCCTATAAATTGCCCCTGTACTTGACCGATACTTCGCCGATAATTTACGAAGTACTGTTTGTGTACTCTTGGTTGAGCACGATCTCGTACTTGGCAAATTATGAGCTGAGTATTGGCTTGAGTATCGTTTATAAATACGTGCCTAAATATTATATATGTGACATGAGTGCAAAGTAAAATATTGTTGTTTTAAATGGCCAAAACACCCTACTAGCAGTATAATGTCAATTACGTCAACATGTCAACAATTACCAAATGTTGGTGAAAAATTCGCATATTTTACAATTCATTGTGGTATAGTAATTTGTGATGAAATAATAAGAAATAATACTTTTTTAGGGATAGTGTCGTGGGGCGTTGGATGTGGAAGACCTGGATATCCCGGAGTGTATACGAGAGTTTCAAGATACATTAACTGGTTAAAACTGAACTTAGATGATAACTGTCTCTGTAGTTAATACGAATGTTAATAGATATATATGTATAAACAATCTTTATTTCTGAGAAATGGGTTATCGACATACGGTATTTCTGCCCCTGTATATACATATTCATTTGTGTCTTGACAGTGTAAACATAATATAATAGATACTACATAGCAGAAGCTGAAAGAACTCCTGCCAACAAAGGGCAAGAAAGGGGGGTTCGGGTTCCAGGAAGATAGCGGACGACAATCGATGTTCGGGTTCGAGACACAGAGGAACAAGTATTGGACATAATCGAATCGGGGCCTTCAGGGGTACTCAGAGCATAACAACTGACACTTTCCCAAGCACCAAATAAATACCGAGGAAGGGCTACATTCGTACCACGTTTGTACGATACACACAGTACAAGGACATATTAAACCAATAGCTTACTGAACACCAATACAAATTGAGCAGGAGTTAATTAACTGTATACGAAAAGATGCTTTCATTAGTGTTAACTGAGTTAACCATTCAAATGTTTGGTTGTGTATGGTTTTTTGTGAAAACCAATTCAGGACAGGTTGACATTTCGAAAGTACGTTCCACAGCCAACAAATCTTGTTGAATTTACCGTTTATCCTTGTCTGTTTTATTGTCACTTTCTGTATAATTCCATGGTTACCGGAGTTTTACTAATTACGAAGCAACAGGTATTTGCGCAATGTCAATTAGGCTGATTTTCTTAAAATCATTGCTGCCGTGCTTCTAATAACAATTAATTTTTCCAACCAAACTTGTAACATTATATAAATGTTATGTAATTTTTGTGACTTGAGATTTTATGTAACGCTTTTACGTAACATTGATGTAACATAAGAAGAACAAATCAAATCAAATCAAAAAACAATTTTGGTGACAGCGATGTTATGTAATCGTGATGTAACATGGTTTACCAGATGCGTACCATCAGGTGTAATTCAAATTTCTACCGAATTCCATTTAGTTCCACGGACAACCCGTGGAGCCACACAAAAGAACCCTCCTATGAAAATGAGCCAGGAACAATGCAGGCCAGGCACCCAAGAAACTTTCTTGAGTACTCTTTTTTTCAGAGACTCTTTTTTTCAGAGACTCTTTTTTTCATCAGACGCAAGTTTTTGTTCATTTGCATTTCGCTTGTGCATTGAGCATTTACTATTGTTGTGAGTCCTTTCACGATTTGAATATTTCAAGGTAAATTAACAGATTTATAAGTACGTTTTTATTTATTTTCTACTGTATGACCAGATACCAAAAATAACCATGTGATTTTATAGATTTTTTTTTAGTCCAGTCGGCATCAACGCCGTATTTTAGCTAAGAAGTTCTTCAATTTCCAAAAATAAGGTGAATATAAAAGATTCTTTTGATCAAAATAATTTCAAAGCCGTAATTGCAATAAGTTGGATTTGGTGAAACCCAAGGCTGAACTTCACGTTGCATCGGTTCCCGAGCCCCTTGTTGAAGGGCTAAACCTACGCAGAATTTTTATTGGTATGTATCGATTTATATGTTGAAATTTGTAATGTCGGATTTTGCATTTGAAGATTTAAATTCTGTTAATAGATTTTAATTCTTACTTGCAGATAAGTGATAATACAGCACCATGAAGCCGTCGAATCTTATGTCGAAACCGCAACATCAGAGTGGTTTCGACTTAGTAGGCAGAGGTTGTAAATAAGAAGTTAATGTTAAAACAAAATGTTGTTATATAATAGTTATTTCAATAAAGTTCCATCTTTACGCATTTTTAGAACAAATCGCTTAAATTAATCTTATGTGAGACAGTTGATTAACCGTCTATTAATCCTGAGGTGAGTCACACAGAACGTAAAAGTTTGTGAATATTATACAATTTATTAACAAATGAACTACATAAAAAGTCACAAATTACGTAAATATTATTTAACATTGAGTTGTAAAATACAAGTTACGACTGTTATGTAAATATTATTTAACATTGAGTTGTAACATATTAGTCAGATATTAGTTGGCTTGAGCCGGACATAATGCACAGTTGGTACATCAGTTTGTGATAAAATATTTACGTAAACTGTTACTTACGTGTGACTTTGTTATATAATATGTATGTAAGTGTTACGAGTTTTGGTTTTCTGGGTACTCTGATCACATAAGGCTCATAAATAGTATTTGCTAACAAATGTTGATTTTTTTGAGTAATCAACCCAGGAAACAAAAACTGGTAACACTTACATAAATATGTAATGTATTAATCAAAATTAGAAAAAGGTTGCGCAATGGGCGATACACAGTCGGCGTCACATAAAAGTAGACGTTTAAATATTTGTTGTACAAATCTGACTTTCTACCTCGATCTATCTTTGCGTATACGATATAATGCAGGCAAATAAATTTTCCTATTATCAAAATGATAGTCAAAAGTATTTGAAAAAACTCGAATAATTATATTAATCGAGAAAGGATGGTCAACAAAAACAGTATCTGAGAGATTTGGAAAATCCAAGAGCAAGATATAAATCTTGCTCTATAAAGATATTAATTAAACTGAAAACAACAAATTAAATTAAGTTTGTGTACTCTACTATACCAACTGTACAGGGTTATTGATTGAACTTTGGCCACCCCGTTTTTGCATCTAATTTGAAATTTAGACAAAAATGTTAAATACAAAAGTTGTAGATATTAACGTTTAGTTTAGTTTATGATAATATGAATTGATACAGGGTGTCTCAAATTCAAGTGGCAGAACAAACTTGCCTTTTTTTAAATGGAATGCCTCACTTTTTATTGCATATTCGAACTATTCACACAATTCTAAGCCTATTCGATATAAAAGTTCTATAATGATTTTCAACTGTTTTTGAGTTAATAACGAATAATGATGAAATTTTGGCCAGCCCGTTTTAACACCTAATTCGAAATTTAGAGAAAAATATTGCATTCAAAAGTTTTAGATATTAACGTCTAGTTTATTGGAAGATAATACCAATTCATACAGGGTATCTCAAACTCAAGTGGCGGTACAAACTTACATTTTTTTAAATGGAATCGCCCACTTTTTATTTCATATTCGAACCATACGCAAAACTGTAGTCTTCTTGGATATACATTTTCCACATTGACCTTCAACTGCTTTTGAGTTAATAACCATTTAAATATTCGGGCATTCCATTTATTAAAATTTGACTTTGGTCAGGCATTTGAATTTGAGACACCCTGTAGCAATTATTATTATTATCTTAAATTTAACTAGATGTCAATATCTACAACTTTTGTATATAAAATTTTGCTCTAAATTTCAAATTAGCTACAAAAACAAGGTGGCCAAAGTTCGATCAATATTGGTAATTAACTCAAAAACAGTCGAAAAATTATAGAAGATTTATACCGAATAGGCTTAGAATTGTGCGAATAGTTCGAATATGCAATAAAAAGTACGTCATTCCGTTAAAAGAAGGTAAGTTTGGTCTGCAACTTGTATTTGAGACACCCTGTATCAACTGGTATCATCTTAAAATAATCTAGAAGATCTTAGAAAAAGTGGTTTTACGTTTTTGTTCAGTTTTGAAGTTATTTTAAATCATGCCAAAAAACAAAAAATACTTTCTCATGGCACCGTTTCGAGCGCTACAAATGGGTGTCTATGAAAATATATTACAACGTTTCTTCGAAATCATCATCAATTTTTGTTTTTCATATAGACCAAATAAAAGTGGTAACTGATATGGTAGCCCTTCTAATAGCGAATTATACAGGTTGATTTGAAATTGGCGTCATTCCTTTTAAGGGGTAATAGTAGGAAAGTACGAGAAAAATATTTTTGATAATTTCTAGAAGATTGAATTAGAGTTGAAAACCAAATTTCAACTTTGTTATTAAGCATTATTTTGCAACTGTCCCATGTTTAATTGGTAGCATATTGGAATACTCGTTTTACTCCCATGTTTAATTGGTAGCATACTAAGGAAAATTACGATCTTTGCTTCAAACTACGAACTTTTTGATATTAAAAAAGGTCCCTTCTACCATTTTTTGATGAAAAGTCATAGTAGCAACGATGTTTCGTTTCAGAACTTTCCATTTGGTAAATCAAAAACAAACGAAAGAAGTACATTTTTGCTGAAACGTAAATGTAAGAAAAAGAAAGTGATTACTTTCTTTTTGATTTTCTTCTGATGATTACTACGGTAATACACTTAATTAAATTACGGTAAATCTGAAAAGCTTAACTTTATTTTTTTGTATCTTTAACTGCTTTTTTTTTGCTTCTACAATGAATTTTTAGATACCATGTTATTAAGCAAAATTTTACTAAAATGGCGATAATCTGACAACGTCGCCAGTAAGAAAAAAACAAGGGCACTTTGTATCATAAAATATTTTTTAAATGTGCGCACTTTGTGCATCAACAACTTTTATATGAAACTATTTTTCTAAAGGTCAACACCAACGGAAATAATGGACTCTCTCGCATTAAAAAACCACCCTGTGTAATGTAGAGATGAAGGTAGGATGAGGAAAATTTGGACCAAAGTAGACCTATTGCTGTTGCATTTCTGGATCTAGCAAAAGCTTTTGACACAGTTAACTATAAAATATTGCTTGATAAACTTTATTCATACGGTATAAGAAAGGGGCATACATTGATTACAAGCTACCTAACCAATGGAACACAAAAAGGAAAAATAGATTCACATTCAAGTGACTTTTGTAAAAGTAAATAAGGGTGTTCCTCAAGGAACTATGCTGGTCCATTACTCTTTGTACTCTATGTGAATGACTTGCTGACGGGCATGCCTGAAAACTCTGTTCTGTCCTATGCTGATGATACTTGCTTGCACTAAATCAATTAACATTGAATATACAGAAAACGTGTGTATAACATTTGGAAATTACAGTGATAGTGTAACACTAAAAAGAGGGAATAAAGCAAAGTATTTGGGAATAACTTTCGACACGAATATGAGATGGGATAGACATGTCGAGAATATCATAAGTAGGTCTAAATCCCTGATTTTCATAAAAGTAATATATAAATATAATAAAAATAATTTTCATTTTAGTAAAATCTCCAAATTTCTGGAAACTAGTACATTGCTTTATTTCACAGTCTGATTATGGCATAATTGCATGAGGGGTGCGTATCAGAACAAATTACAACTGTTGCAAAAGGTTCAAACAAGTATTGTAAAAATTATAAATAAAAGCGCCTCTCAAAAAATACTTCGCAAGTGAAAGTCTTCAATTGTACTATGACATTCTCAAGAGTCGGTTTATCAACTCTGCGATTAAAACTACACACAAAATGAAAATTCCACCTAGGTATCATAAAACTATAAGTAACACCCTTGATCTATAAAAAAGAACAAGTATAAAAAAATCAAGAATAGCTTAGGAAAAATAAATAATACTACCGCAACAATGGAAATGGGTTGGTATGATGAGGTTAATGAACATGATGTACTGTCCCTAATTAAGAATGTTTAGAATAGTTTTAATTTTAGTTTGTAAGTTTTGTTTTGCTCATTTTCGAATATTTTTCCTCGATTCGATCAGATGCTACAAGCATCTCTATAGGATGTCAGTTGCGTCGAGTACATTGATGTAACGACATATTTCACTGGTAAATAAATAAATAAAAATTTACATATATACATTTATATACATTTTTTGTTATATTAAATTATCATAAGAATAAAAAAGTCACCACTTAATGGTGACATATATGTATAACTCAGACTAAACTAAAAGAAAAAAAAAATGGTTTCCAGACCAAGATTATTGACTGCGCTCGCATACTAGGTTGGACTGTTCTTGTGATTAATTTACTAAGAAAACACAAATATTCTCTAAGCATTTAAGGGTCACATAACTCGTCATAATTATGACAAATTGGAAAAAAAATTCCTCTTAAGGGAACATAAATTGTTTTCAAATGCTCTATACTTACTTTTCCAGGACTTGTCCGTTGGTAGTTAGCAGCAAACCACCATTTTATAGATTTTTTGATCGAGAATATCACCAAAATGCTTCATTTTCATTAATGTCAAGAATATTTGGACATCTGTCATCTTGAATTAATCAAACGGACAATACTTTTGCTTCCATGCCAACGTGAAATTATGGGGGGTTTTTGCACAAGTGCTTCAAAATTACCAATATTTGTTCATGAAAGATTGTTGTCTAAAAACTGCATAAGTTTATTTTCATATTGCGAAAATAGACGAATTAATTTTTAACAAGACAACAATCTCGAATGCAAAATTATCTATTTATTTGGATGCGTGAGTGTAATTTTGATGAATATTTCCTGAGTAAAAAAGTTTACGTGGTTTCTTTTTATTACTATTTGAATTTTATTACTTATACATATGTTATGATTTTCTTATCTTTCCTGGGTCTCAGTCAAAGTGTGAAGTAAAAATTTTGAACATAGTTTATTTCATCACGTTTCGGCGAGACAACAGCGCCATCATCAGATTTAAAATTTACATAAACTCATGATTGGTAAAAATAAACTTTAAACAATGCAATTATCGCCATAATTTTTCGATAATTGCACACTTCAAATTGACAGATTTGCATATGAAGAAAATATTCATCAAAATTAAACTCGTGCATCAAAATAAAAAGATAACTTTGAAGCAATTACCCCCGAATAAATTATTACCCCTGAGTAAAGAAAGTAAATGTGGTTTTATTTTATTACTTATATTTAGTATAAATATGATTTGAATAACTTAGGAATTCGCTAGTTTAAAACTCCAGGCGCCCACTGGTGGTTAAAATTATAATTACAAGTTAAGTAGTAAGTAATTTTACACTTGTTTTGTTGACATTGGTATTTTAAAGACATAGAAATTGATCCAAGTGTGTAAGTATTGTTTTATGTTATAGATATCATCAACTCCAATAAATAAACAAGTTTAACAAGTCTCGACTGTCACTTGACAACGAGTAAATTCACGTTTCGCAGCGCCACCATCAGCAGTTGATCTCGCGAATGGCCGAATGGCCTTTAATGTCATCATGAAAAAACTCGTGTGACATATTTTCATTTATTAATAAACGTTTTTATTATACATACATAATTAGACAAGTTAAGTCTACCTAATAAGTAAACACTACTGTACAATTTAAAAAACCGATGATCATACACATCACTGATCATTGATCACATACATCAAAGTATGATTTACACACGGTTTATATATGATAGTACCTACATAACTTAGTTTGTATCATATAAAAAGCAATCAACTTAAGAAAATTACATATTCTCATGCAATTTTATGTTACTTATTTGGTTTTCCCATTAGTATACCGGTCGTTACAGGTTCAATAATAGTTCCCATTTTAGTTTCAACTGTCGGTTTTATAAATCTCCTAAAAGCTAACTCTGGAACGAAACTATTTCCTATGGGTGCTCTTAAGCTAGCTTCATAGTCTTTCGCCGATTTAAATGGAAAAGGAATGTCTGACACTAAATATGGTGCCACTTTTTTGGCTGCTTTTTCATTAATAATCAATCTCCCCTTATTATCATCTCTCCTAGGAATTGTTTTCGGCATTTTAAACATAAACCGCCTACGCTTCTTTTGCTTCTTTGGATCAATACCCGATCCAGCCCAGGAGCCCCAACCGGGTAGATTTGAATCGATATCAGTGGGTCTATCTTTTTCAATTTCGGACTTTTTCTCTTTCATAAAGTCACTGGCAATACCAAAATCTTCAAACCCTTCGGATATGAACTGGTTTTGACTTGCTTCTGGAACATTTTCTACCGAAACAATTATATCGGGACGCGTGGAGTTCAAATGCGTTACTGTCGGCTTTGTAAACTGTTTGATAACATCGGATTTCGTTTGTTTTGTGTTAGTCTTTAATATGTTTGTCAAAGCGCTGATCGAGTCATTGCTCCGTGTAAAATTTTGTGTAAATTGTGCCGGCTGCTCTATCATCTCTTCGTCGATAATTTGTTTGGCGCTTTGTACGGGCATTGTAAGATCAATTTTCTTGCCACGAGCCTTTTTAATGGGCTTATCAAGTTTTTCTTTATACTTCATTGATGTACATGTGATGTTTAAATCAGGATCATTAGGTACCGTCTGATCAACTGCATATTGTGAAAAGGCATTATAAAATGAGGTTACTTCATTCGGCTTTGTCTGAAGGGCTATATTCCACGGAGTATTACTTGCTTGCTCAGGAGGTTCTGTAACAGCTAGTGCAATATCTTGAACTTCGTCTTCGGAATCGCTGTTTGTCGTTTGCTTCTGAGTCAAATCTTTGCTAATTTGAAGCTGCTCCGCCAAAACTTGTCGACTCTGAAATATACATGACAATTTAAGATTACATACAAATTTATTAGCCTGAATTCATGAACAGCAGTAAAGCGTCATATTTCAATACCCAAAATTGTGTTTCAGAAAATAAAGTGGAAAGCCTTTTCGTAAAAATATTAAGTAGATATTCATCAAGCCATGAGTTATGGGCCACCTTGTATAACAATAATACTGACCAACCGCTAGCCCACGTTTGTGCCGATTCAACACTAATCAATTATATAAACCTTTGACCAACCATTTTGTATTTTAGTCAGAGTTTAAATTCAGAGTTAATTCAAGTATTGTCTAGACCGTTGTATTAATAAAAATATAGTTTTTTTTTAATTTCAAGAATTATTATTCTTAAGACAAGTCATGATAGATAGGTTTTTGCTCCGGGAAATGTTATTAAACGTAATTAATTGACTTATTAATGTTACTAATTGACTTATCATCATCAAGTCAATTGAAAATTTAAAATTAATTCCAAAAATGTAGATATGGATTAGGTACAGCTAAAACTTTTTATTTTTTTATTTTGAACATTTCTTCGTAGATCAAATTAAACAACGGTCCAGAGATTTATCATAACAATCTCTAACTTTCTGATCACAAATTGGTTTTCCACTTTGCCACTATATGGCACTTTATCTGTTTCCACATACCTTTTTTGATACTTCAAATGTCGCAAAAAGGAATATGCCATTTTAAACATTAGAAAATACTACAGAAAAATGCGTTCTTCACACGAGTCGAAAAACCCCTTCGTTTAGGCGCAAATCGAAAATAAAGTTTTTATTACTTCAACTCAGTGGCCTTGTATTTAATTGGAATGTCAGCAAATCAAGTCGCCTGGTTTTAAAATGTGCCAAATTTGACATTTTATTTTGTTTGAGAATTTTTTGTGCTCTAAAACCACTAAATTAAAATGGATCGAGAATATTCAAATGCAACACAATAATTTAGACTAAATTGAACAGTAATACAATAATTACTATACATTGTTAAATTTGGCACATTTTTAAAACCAGACTACTTGATTGTCTCGGATTGCAGTTAAATCCAAGGACACAAGTTAAATCCAGGAGTTGAGAGTGATAAAAACTTCGATGTCGATTTGCTACCAAAACGAAGAGGTTTTTCGAGTCATTTGAAGTGCACGTTTTGTGTCTAGTATTTCCTAATCTTTAAAATCACACATTATTTTTTGCGATATTTGGCGTGCCAAAAAAGATATGAGAAATCCAAAATTTTAATTTCAGGTAAAGCGCCACCTAGTTGTAACGTGGAGAAACAAATTTTCAACAAAAAGTTAAAGAATATTAAGCAATTTTCAATTTGATTGACAATAGGACAGAAATAAAAAGAAAAACATTTTTGTTTGATGAGCTGTAAACTAGAAAAATATTCAGATTTCGAAATTTTGTTACATGACCTTCTACCATTATTTATATGTAGAAGAATATACATTAAAAATTGTCTAACGCATTTTCGAAACACCCTGTATAACATAGTATGACCTGTTACGGATCTTACGTCAAAAAAATAAGTATTCCATAAATTTTTCCTGTACAAGAAAGATCCATAAACAAGACAGCTTAAGTAATAGGTCAAATTTCAGACATCCAACTTTCAACTTTTTTGGGTTTTTCTAGTGTTACTAGGTTCATTTAATTTAAAGTTTATTTCTGTATAATTTTTTCTTTATTGAACGGTTTTATTCTGGTTTAGTTTTGTAATACACCAGCTGTTGCAGACAAGTTGAAAGCTAGACGTCTGAAATTTTACCTATTAAGCTGTCTTCATTCAGCATATTTATTTTTGTATGTACAGAGTGTTTCTTCATAAGTTGACACCCCCTAGATTGTTTATTTAAAAAAAGTTGTGAAACTCACTAACACAAAAGTTGTTTAATTTTACTAAAATTTTTTAAATCTGAATTTGTTAAATTGTTGAAAATCACTTATTTTGCATATGACTTCTGATTAAGCCTAGACATGCTCTATAATCTAATCATTTTCTAATCAATTTTGTCTATAACGTTTTGAATATATTAGTTATGTTTAATATTGATATCGCATCTACTATTTTAAAGCGTCTAAGTAGAGTCCCATACCCAATATTCTTAAAATAACCTTAGAGAAAATAATCTCAAGAGGAGCTAGATCGGAGCTATTTGGAGGCCATTGGATAGCACCCGCTCGTCCAATCAGAATATCAACATTTTCATTTAAAAAAAGTGGTACCGGGCGAACGTTATGGGATGCACAGAGCGCCTTGTCGAATTTCAAGGCTACTTTGATTTGTTCGTATTTATAATTTTCTAAATGTAATATAGGAAAAAACGGCTAATACAAATTTAGGCAATATAAATATTTCTAAAATTAGGATAAAAAATCCAATCGACCTGTCTAAAAATATATAGGGTGTTTTATTTTAAAAAACTCAAATCTTGAGATTTTTATTTTAAATCCAGATTTCAAAAATTTGGGTAAAATTAAACAACTTTTGAGTTGGTCACTTTAACCATTTTTTTTTTAAATAAACGATCTAGGGGGCGTGTCAACTTATGAGAACACACCCTGTACATTTAAAATAAACATAATCTATAAAAAATCTGGTTTTATTGCAGCAAAAAGTATGAAGTGTTATACAGAAAAAATGAAGTGTCCAATGAAATGAAGCAGAAAGTATGAAGTGTCCTACAGAAAAAGAATATCGACCCAAAAAAGTTAATGAGTTTAAAAAAGTCATTTATTACAGCTTTACGAGACCACAGATTCGAATTTTCACATCTAAAAATAAGGTCATCAACATTTTTTCTGATTAACGTTTTACTACTTTGTCCAAACAACTAAAAAAAAGTAATCTACATTTTCCTAGCAACATAACTGAGTACAAAGAAAGTCGAATAATTTTCTTGTAAAATCGATCTCTTAATTTTTTGCATACAAGATTCAGTTTTGCCAGGACCAATTTTACAATTAAGGAGACTAGTGTTTCAATAAAATTTACTTTATAATTTTTTACAGAAAATACCTAGATTGTCAGTATTTTAAGTAAAACTAAAAAATAATGCGATTTTTGCGTAGAAAGAATTGCTTAATAGAAACTTCGTTGTAGATAAGTTCTATATTGTTGAGGCGGATTAATTTTTTTACAAAGTGCTTGTTGGGTACTTCGCCTCAAAAATTCCAATTAGTAAGAAATTAATTTTAAAAATTACATTGACGTTTCGATAGCTATTTTCTGCTATCGTTATCAAGAACCTAAATGAACCTAAAATTTTATTATTATGATTATGATTATAATAATAACATAACTGACAATTTGCACAGACGATTTCTCAGAGCGAATTTTTAAATACTGTATTATCCTACTATTGTTACACAATTTATTAACATACTCTTTTTTGGGTTCATTTAGGTTCTTTTGATAAAGATAGCAGAAAATAGCTATCGAAACGTCAAGGTAATTTTTCAAATTAATTTCTTACTAATTGGAATTTTCTCTTACAGCTTGAGCCTAAGTGTGCCGCAGGATACCGTCTAGGTGATAGGTCTTGATTACTTTTTGATAAATAATTCGTTCGTATTGGGAAATAAGAGAACTATTTAATCTGTAATAAAAGACGTGGGGAAATTCTGTCTTTTTTACTTAAGATACTTAATCCTAATTACTTTCAGTAAAAAACTGAATACAATTATTTAGTTTTTGTGCCAAACTCGAAACTGAAATGAGTTTTCTAAACTTCTGTGAAACCGATGAGTGCGGCAAATTTTCTAGTCATTTTTGGCTGAAAAGACCCCAGTATTGCCAGAAAAGAAAAAATAATGATTTTTTGCGTTTTCGATTAAAAACTTTTAGTTTTGTGATCGGTTTTGGAGAAAACCTTAATGGTTTTCGGGGAAAAAACGGGAGTAATTTATTTTCGGGGAAAAAACGGGAGTAATTTATTTTCGTTTCTGTCCCGAATTGAACTCGTTTTTTTAAGTGAAACTGTACAAAATAGAGCGTTTTTGAGTAGAAAGTAAAGCAAATTCAGTCAAAACTAATAAACTTATTCTGTTCGTTTTTGATACCAAATTATTTAATTTTGGTTCCGAATGCGAAGCTGGAAAATTATTTCAAATTTTTTACAAAGCGACGAAGAATTCGAATTTTATTTCATAAGTTTTCGCGGAAAATGCCTTAAGATTGTCAGCATTTTTAAGTAAAACTTTAGAAAATTGAGCATTTAGAAGAAAGAATAACTTGGCTAAAACTAAAAAATTCTCCGCCTTAAAAATCCACTGAGTTACCCAGACCTATATGAAACATTTGATGTTCGTTCCATTCACATTTTGGAAATATGTTGAAAATTGAAAATAAATGAAATTATCATGAATGTAAATCATACCTATGAAACTAGGACTAGAAAAGATACGATGTTAGAGATTCCAAATAATAGTTACCTATACATGTTTAAATTTATGATTTGTAAATTACTTGGCTCTATTAATTGGTTTAAAAATCTTGAACATATTACCATTAGAAATGAAATGTATTAGTAAACATAATTTATATAGGAGAGAGTGGAGGCCATATACTTAAAGGATGTCCCGAAATTGTTAGTCAATAATGATAGGGCCAACAAAGACCTTAAAATAAAGCCAGAACTTCATATAAACAAAATCCCTATATGGCTTCCTTATGGAATTATGGGCCCTCGAAGTGACAAGTTGAAAAATGAATTTAATTCTTAATTATTTCAGTGTTATTAGCCGGTCGTTAAATTTTTATAGCAAAAGTAGTTCACATATACTCGTCTTTTTGAATTGGAAACCAAACAAAAAGTATTTTATCCTAAAATACGTAAGATATATCGAGAAAAACAAATTATGCCATTTTTGAAGAACGAAAATGGGCCTAACCAGCCTATTGAACATTTCCCTAATTTTCGCAATACCGTAAAATTTCTATTCATTGTAACATTAATTTTGAATAAATTTCCAATTCAAAAATACGAATATTTTGAGCTACTTTTGCTACAAAACTTTACGGCTAGTAAACGGTGTAATAATTAAGAATAAATTTCATTTTTCCACTTCTCACTTTGAAGGCCCATAATTCCATAAGGAAGCCAGATCGGAAAGTTTTTTATATGAAGTACTTGCCTTATTTTCAGGTCTTCTGTTGGCCCTATCATTGTTGGCCAACAATTTCGGCACATCCTGTATATACAATAATATGGAAAAAAATTACACTACTATTTTGAACAAAACACTAGAAAGAAAATAGAAATACTTATGTAGCAAATATAGGAAATATTTAAAATTAAAGAATAAGCACGTATTGATGTTCAGTTAAACTGCCAGTAAAACAAAATTAAATAAAATACTAATAAGAAATAAATTACCTCTTTATCATATTTTGCTCTAACTTGTTTACTTCTAGCCCACTGTCCTGTACTTTTATGCCTCAAACTGAATCTCTCGAGTGCCCTGGCCTTTTCAATTTCACCTAGTTTCTTTAGAGCTTCTTCTGGGTTGGTTTTTTGAAGTTCGTCAAATTCCTTTAGCTTATTCTTGATTCTCTCTTTTCTTAATATTCTATGGTAACCTTTACTTTTAATTTTATTCTGCCTTCTTGCTTTTCCCTCCTTGTAACTTTGACGTGCCCTCAGCTTTGCCAGCTCCTTTCGATTATTTTTCAGATCTTCCAATGACAAAGAAACTTCATTTTCTTCAGTATTAGGTTTAACGTGATATTCTTCTACTTCAGTATCTATTTTCTCCAACTCTTTCTGAAGTTTTGATTTGTATGTTAGCGTATCTAGAAAAGTTGCCGCTTTTTTTCCTTCGACCTTTAATTTTTCAACTGCATCAAGTGGAAACGACTGGTGTGCCTGAGATCTCATTGAAGTCACAAATGCCTCCCATCTGTCTAGAAGAAATCTATTTTTTTCATATCCTACTGAACGCTTAATTCGGTCAGCTTGTGGTTTCTCTAGAGGTTTTGGTAAAGTACGTCCTCTCCTTTTCGTTGACTCAACTTTCTTGCCAATTTCAACATGCTTTTTGCGAGTCTTTAGAACTTTGGCTAAATCATCAACATGTACAGAGGGTTTGCGATCGGTGACAGATTTTACTAAGTTAAACTCAGATATCTGCAAGGCCGCTTCTGTTCTTGATGCTTTTTGCACATGTTGAGATTTGCTCAAACTTAGAACATCTGCAACGATTTTTTTATGTTGCTCTTCGCCTATTTCGATATCAGAAAATTCAAAATCACTATTTTCACCCATACTTTCGCTTAGTAAGCCGGATTTAACGAAAAATACAAATACCGACGTAAATGCTCCGTAAAAATGCTTTCAGCAACTTGAAAATGTTGGTTATGTTATAAAGGTTAGAGCAGTCCAGTACATCATATTCTCTTCTCTTTCCACTGACCGTGTTGTTGACAATTTGACAACCGCTTTTTAAAGAAGGATGATGCCGGTGTACAGTTCAGGGTGGGTGCTCGTCTATTTTATGTCTGTCGGATTTTGGCGTTCTTTTTAATTTTCCTTTAAAGTACACTTAAAATAAAGCACATTCAGCGAAAAAAATACGGATAATCTAAAGAATCACGCTAGAAAATATTTACAAACGTTGACAAAATCGCCATACGGTATCAATATTTACCACGAATATCTATTTACTGAACGGGGCTCCGTGCGCTGTTGCCGTGTGGTAGTAATATTTGACGTCATTTACCATGTCCTCGTATAGATGTGAATGAAAAATTATTGTATCTAATTAATTTTTTCTACTATTTTGAAGAAATAATTTCAATTCTATAGGGGTTTTTACTTTTTACGTTTTTGGATCAAAGGCCTCTTACCACTATAAGTTTATTTGTATATAAGGCGAATTTTAGATTCACCTCAATTTACAGAATCTAAAGTTAATGCAACACAAACTACCGCATTGCTAGATGCTAATTCATTAAAACATTTTTAGTAATATTTTTTAGGTTTAGAACAATTAATTTATTTTGAAGCAAAGTTCTAGCCACACATAACTAAATAATATCTAAAAAAACGCTATTAATCACCCAAAACGTCGTTCGTGTATAGAATATATTTACTTTTGTAAATATGTAGTTCAAAAAAATATATCTTCGTTATCATTTTTTAATTTGCTAAAATAATCTCCCCACACACGATAATATACAACACAACAACAATATATTTTATATGATTCAAGTAATTTACAAAATTTTATTTTATCAGTCACCATGTGGTTTAAAATGCGCGCAAATCACGACAGTCAGCTGAGCTCCGTATGGTTTGATAATATGTGGCACCGGGAACCCCGGCTAAATTTCGCGCTCGCGCAATGAAAGGTTCGGTGTGATTTTTGTGTCGTCTCGCGAAATTTAGCCGGAGTTTCCGGGGGGTATGTACTGTGGTCTAGTACAGTACCAGAAGGACAATAATATAACCTCGAAATTACCAGCTGTTTTATGTTCTTTATGTTGATTGTTGAGTGATCAAGTGCTACCAGCTCTCAGCCAATGCTCAAGAGAAAGTTGGTCTTTATCTATGAGCTAGTCCAGATCATGTAATTGGCCGCACCACAGTACTTATCTATGGCGGCACGTTAATTTAGATGAAAATTATAATGTCAGCTAGTAAAGTACACCAGTTAAACAAAGAGCAACTATTTGCCTATTTTCTAAACAGAAACTGATTAAAATAGTATAGTTTCTGTAGTACCCTCATTTTAGTGTGACTTGTGACGAAAAGTACAGTAGTTGTTTAAACTATATACTTTGTAGTATAATATACTAGGTACTGAGTTTGACAACGTGTGTGGTTGAGTCAGCCTTAAAAATAAACTAAAAAGCAATTGACTTGAAGATGGAATCTATTTCAGACGAAAAAAAATTGAAAAAGGTGAGTTTACGATTAAGCATGTCTACACTATGTACTATTTATGTGTGTGTTACCAGCAATGTACGAAATACGGCAATCGGCACAATGGCTAGTCATCCACAGAACATCCCCCCTAGGGGGGATCTCTTAATTGCCATGAGGATTATAGAAAATCTCATAACAAACAATATTTTTCGTATAAATTTTTCGATTAAATGCCGTTTTCCACCACTTTTCGCCTTCTGAAATTCACCAATTTCCAAACCAAAACAACGGTCGCCATGATAGCTCAGCGCTTTGCGCCGGCGTGCCAGTCAACATTTTTCGCGTAGTTGCCAGTACTATTATTACCACTTCCTTAACCACCTACGCGATCAGTTTCGCTGAAAC